CCCGCTCATATGTAGTGTTGCTGTGTGCTGTTCTAAAGTGCATTTAAAACACAGGAGAGCATGGTACTTGCTTCCTCTCAGAGAGCAGCACGGCTCCTCCCGAAAACCCTTAGTGTCTATATGCATTTAAAATTGAGGGTAGGGCACCAGTGTGTGTGTGTGTGTGTGTGTCTCTGTGTGCGTGACTTCCTGAATACAACTGTTTCTAACAACATCCTAGTCATAAAGGGGGTAATCTCCCCCACACCCAATGTATGGTTCAATTCCTGTATTGGTTCACCATACACCATACACTGTAGAACACCAGCCCTTGAGGCCTGGAGTTGCCTACCCCTGGTTTAAAGGCTAAATTAGGTCAGGGTTTAAAGGGTTAAGTACTTCAATAATGAGTTGTTACATATGTGCTGTAGTGATTAGCCAGAATGGCTGCACATCTGTACTTGTTCTAAATATTCACATGTTGTGCTGATGAATAATATCTTCAGGTTTCACTAATAGCCAAAGAATATATTAAACAGCATTTGTAAAACTCATCATGTTTTTCTGGCCTACAAAGGCTGAAAGAGTGTGGGGTCCATCATGTTCTCATAGATTTGTGGATGAAAACTTTGCTGCAGTCTTTGAGGCTTTACTTCTCAATGTTTACATTTGGTTTTACTTTGGTCACCAGGTAACATCACAGAGGTGGTGGATGAAGATGATTTGAATGAACTGACCAGGCTGGTGTTGTTCACTGCCACCCACTTCAAAGGCTTCTGGGACGAACATTTCTCGTGGTCTAAAACTTATGATGCTCAATTTTGGCTCAACAAGGTAAAAGTCCTCATAAAAACAAAGAACACTGACAATGAAAGGTGAGTTTCTGAAACTATAACATTATAAAGTGTATATACTGTTGCAGTTGTGGTTAGTTATATTAAACATGGACAGTTTCAAATCATGAAGTGAGCAAATGTACAAGTAAATTTTGTGAGCCAAAGCTCAGTTTTCAGACTGCTCTAAAGGATCGGTTTCAGTTTTTCTGTTCTCGGCTATGCGTGATATGTCAGAAAGATCAGCCCCTCCCCTTTTGTTAAACAGGGACAGCCAATCAAAATGGCCTAAAGAGGAGGGAGCTTTAAAGATGAGGAGTTAAAATGATTAATATGAGACTGCATTAAGGCCAAGTGTGAGATAAATAAGATTTATTTGGAAGTGTATGACATGAAAAGTTTCTTTACAAATTGCTTTAATAAAAACCATGAGAATAGAATCTGTGACTGGGAATGATTATTCATGACACACAGCTTCAAAGCCAAATTTTTGTGTTTCGTTTTCAGAGTCATTTAATTCACTTTTGCATCCAAGAAATATTTCAATGAATATATTAAAAAATGTTGTTGAATGTCAAATGTAATTTCTTGTTTGTCTTCAGAATGACTCAAAGCCTGTGAAGATGATGAAACAGGAAGAAAACTTTGCGTGTACCTTCATCGAAGAAGCAAACTGCAAGGTTACCATCATATTTATTATATTGATATAAATCACTGGAATAATCAGATTTCACTGAGAGAGTGATTGTAATGTATATGTTTCAGTAGATTTATGTGCAGTAATGCTTGAAATCTTCTGCTGGACAGATTCTAGAGATGCCTTACAGTGGGAAGGAAGTGAGCATGCTCATCTTTTTACCTGCAGAGATAGAGGATGATACAACAGGACTGGAGAAGGTAGAACACTTTCACACTCGGGATGTTCCTGGTGACTCATTTCTTAGTCAACTAAACAAAGAAAACAAATCAGACTGACTGAAAACTGACAAACACTCAGATATTAAATCACATTTGAAAACTCCTTGACTTCAGAAACTGTGTAAACAAAGTGATTTGGAACTTTTAATGACATTCTTGAATGAATCATGTCATCACATTTACACTACACGTTAAACTCCAAACAGACGA